TGGTTATGAAACCAGGGTGGGTACTTGGAGATCAACCATGATCTAGTGGAATGAATGATGGAGAAGATTTAAGGGGCTAAATGACCTTCTTGATCTTTGCTATCAGAGGATTGTGCAAAAGGTAGTTGGAGACAGTAAGGACTGCCGATGCTAGAAGCTAGAGTCAATTAATGTGGAGCTGCAAAAGCACGGCTGGTCAGACAGGATCTGAGGAGCAGGGAAGTCAACATTCTGGGAGTGGGGGGTGGAGTCCAAAACTAGATGGCATAGATTTAAAGTGGTGGGGAGGAGGAGATTGAAAAGTGTCTAAGGGGCAACTTTTTCACGCAGAGTGGTGCATGTACAGAAAGAGCTGCTGGAGGAAACGGTGGAGGGTTGTACAATTACAACATTTAAAAGGCATCAGGATAGGTGTATGAATAAGTAGGGTTTAGAGGAACATGGGCCAAATTCTGTCTGACTTGCTGTGCTTTTCCAGCTCCATGTTTTTTGACTGAAGGTAGTTGGTGGACAGTCTGTGCTGCTTGCGTTGGGAACACTTTGTGATTGTGAATTGAAAGGCACTCTGTGTGCTGTGGGGGTTGCAGTACCTGCGCTGCTGAATCTAAACATTGAAGTCCTTACCATGAATAACTGGGCTATAACTTCAACTTCTTGAGTGACGTTGGAGAAATAGAAGTAAGAAATGTCTCTCCTTCCTGTTGAAGTCAACCAGGTTCCATCTGACCAGAGATAGGACTGAAATAAAAACAAAGTGTTGGAGAAAGTTGGCAGTTCTGGGTATAACTGTAGAGAGAGAGAGAGAGAGAGAGAGACAGACAGAGTTAACTCTTTCAGTTTGATTTGACTTGTTCAGAACAGGAACTGAGCTCACCATGGGGTATTTTGCGAGGGGTCTGGGAACCAAAAGAGAAAGATGCATAAAATGTTGGGAGAGGCAGATAGCATTAGTTTTGAGAATAGTAAGTTAATTTGTGCAGTCAGAAATAAATGAAGTTTAGATCAGGGTTATACTATGCACATGTGAATGCATGGAGTATGGTCATATAATTAGTGAGTTACAGGTACGGATTGCCATGTGAGATTACGATATCGTGGCAATAAAAGAGACCTGGCTCAAGGAAGGACAGTAGGAAAGGGGAAAAAAATAATTAAGGAGAGCATTGCAGTACTAGAGTTGAAGGACAGACTCCATTTGGCTCGAGCTGAGGAGAAACAAGGATGCACTTTCATAACTTGGTATAATAGTGGGAAGAATATAGAGGAATAAATCTGCAATGATATTACAAAGAGGTGTAAACATCATAGAGTAGTTCTATTGGGAGGTCTTTAGTTACCCTCATAGATTGGGATAGTGGCTGTGAAAGGCCAGGTTTTTTTGCATTGTTCAGGAGAATTTCCAACAGCAGTAAGTGTCAAGCCCAACACAAGAGATGCTGCTAGATGTGGTTCTTGTGAATGAGGCGGACAAAGTATAGCAAGTGATCATTTGGGGAGCACTTAGGCGGCAGCGTTCATTGCATTATGAAGGTTAGGCTGATGGTGGAAAATGGCAACAGAAAATCTAGAGGAAGAATAATCAACCGTCAGAGAGCCGATTTCAGTGGATAGAGAATAGAGAATGAAAGTTGGTGGTAAGAACATTGGGCTCTCTTGAAAGAGGTGGTGGTTTGGACACAGTGAAGGTATATTCCCTCAAAAGGGAAAGGTAGGTCAAACAAATCCTGACCTCCCCTGATGACAAAGAAATTAAGTTAAAGATTAAGTGGTGACCTTATGACCAACGTCAAGTAGTGAATACAACTGAGAACCAAGCTGAACACAGAAAGCTCACAAGGGAGATATAAAAGCAAATATGAGAAGCAAAGAGCAATTGTGCATAAAAAACTGGCAGCTAACGTATAGTGAAATCCAAAGTCTTCTATAAGCACACCAATAGTGAAAGAGCAGTAAAAGGAGAAGTTAGACCAACTAAGAATCAAAAAGGTGTTTCACAAGTGGAGGCAGGAGGTTGGGGTGTTAAATTAATACTTTTCATCTGTCTTTAGCTCTGAGGCAGATGCTGCCCAGGTCTCGGAACAAGGGAGGAAGCTCTAAGTTCACAGGGTTTAAAATTGATATGGAGGAGGTATTGGATAAACTGTTGGTACTTCGTTGATATGGCAGCAGAAATTGCAGAGACCTTGGCAATAATTTTTCAATCTTCCCTAGATTTTGGGGGTGGTGCTGAAGGACTGGAAAATTGGAAACGTTATGTCCTTGTTCAAAAAAAGGTTCTAAGGATGAGATCAGTAATTTAACTTTTGAAGCTGTGGAAATCTCTGGAAACAATTATTCTAATAGGATTAATAGTTACATGGAAAAACATGGATTGATTCAAAAGAGCATGGATTTGTTATGGGAAATTTGTGTGTAACTAGATTTTGGGTTGGGAAATGTCAACTTTCCGGCTCATCTAATGCTGCCTGGCCTGCTGTGTTCCTCCAGCTCCACACTGTGTTATCTCTTACTCCAGCATCTGCAGTTCTTACTATCTCTTTGTGTGCAACTAAATAGATTTGATTTTTGAAAAGGTCACGGAGAAGGTGGCTGAGGGCAATGCTGTGATGTGATGTGCTTGGACTTCCAAAAGGCATTGGATACAATGTCACATAACAGACTTGACGAAACTTATAGCTCATGGAATGAAAGGAGCACAGCAATGTGGATCCAAAATGGTTTGGAAACCAGGATGGCTGATGGAAATTTTCAAACTGCTCCAAGGTGTGCAGTACAGTTTCCCAGGGGTTGGTAGTGGGTCCCTGTCTTTTCCTGTGACACAAATTCATGAGCTAGCGCTTGAGGTGTATGGGACAATTTCAAAATTTGAAGACACAAGATTTAAAAATTGAGGTGGACAGTTTAGAGCTTCAAAAATACATTGACAAGTTGATGGAGTGGGCAAATAAGTGGCAGAGCAAGTTCAATGTGGTGAAACGTGTGAGGTGATGTATTTTGGTACAAATAACATGGAGCATCTGTATAAAACCAAGAGTGCTATTCTAAAGAGTGTGCAGGAGCAATAAAGCCTGGCTGTATATGTGCATGAAGTCATTCAAGGTGACAGGAAAGGTAGAGAGCTGTTAACAAAATATACAGAATTCTAGGGTTCATAAATTGAGGCATAGAATACAAGAGCAGGGACGTTTTACTGAACCTATATAGACATTGGTTAGACCTCAGCTGGAGTATTGTGTACAGTTCTGGGCACCACACATTTAGGAAGGATGTGAATGCATTGGAGAGAGTGCAGAAGAAGTTTGAGGAAGGGTCCAGAGAAACCTCAGTTATTAGGAACGATTGGATAAGTTGGGAATTTTTTTCCTTGAAGATGTGAAGTCTGAGGGGAGATTTGATAGAAGTTATCAAAGCCATGAGGAGTCTGGACCGAGTAGATGGGGAGAAACCCCTCCCATTCATAAAAGGATTGAAAACTGTCTTTTGATTTTCAAGTGTTGTGCAAAAGAAGTAAATGCGAGGTGAGAACAAACATTTTCACATAGTGTTCTGGTCTGGGTTTGGCAGGTACAGCCTGCGAGTGTGGTCAAGGTAGGTTCAACTGAGGCATTAAAGAGGGTATTAGATGAATATTTAAATAGAAGCAATGAACAGGGCCATATGGACAAGGGAGGTTGGTGTTAAATCAAATTCTGAGAGAGTGCAGACTCAACGGGCCGAACGGCATCCTTCTGAACCGTAACAGTTCTGTTCTGGTGAAGACCTATCATACCTTGAAGTGAGTGGATGATGCTATAAAGGAACGTGCACAACGAGATTCCACGAACAGCGATGAGATGGACGACCAGTTAATCTGGTTATGGGTGGGAGCTGAGGGCTGTTTGCTCAGTGGGGGAGGGAGTGGGGTGGTGTTTTCCGAGTGGAGGAGGGAGTGGGGTGTTGTTTGTTTGTGAAAGGAGGGGGTGGGAAACTGCTGTTTGGTGGATGCACATTCTGCAATGTATGCACTTTGGACGGAGTTCCTTCTCGTGTTTTTGTAAGTGATGACCCCTACAAATGCCTCCAGCAGAGTTTTATCCTTGTTAGTATTTGCATGTATTAAACTGGACAGATTGCTGTGAGAATGTGTCCAATTAGTACAATCGCCAGCAGCGTTTATGCTCAGACTCCATTACTCCTAAACCACTGTTGTGGTCTCGGGAATAAACACTGAGATGCCCAGCATCCTACACTGACCGAATCACAGCGATAGGCGCTGACGTGCAGAGGGCGAGTGATGACAGCGACTTGTCAGTGAGACTGAGGGGGGCATGGAGAGGCTCCTTCGGTTTATTCCACCGATTACATTGTTGGTCGTTCAGAATTTTGCTGCACCAGATGCTCGTTAATGTCCCCCAAATTCCACGGGAACAGATGCTCTGGAATCTGTTCTGACAAAAGGCACAGAGGTAGGAGGATCGTCCCTGTGCTGACAGCCAGGGAGTGTCGCACTGTCCCTGGATGTTGACAGGCTCAGTCAAAGATCGGAAGTGGCCGCACTGACCGTGTACCCGAGTGAACCTTGAAGCTGTTAGTGACCTTGTGCTGCTGGAGGCTGCAAGGTATTCAATATTTCAAACCTCCCTCTGAGGCCAGAGCCACCAGGGAGGGACAGACAGAGGGAGGGGATGGTAAGGAATGGGTCAAGTACTGAACGTGCTGTTCAATAAGACTAGCCATTCAGAGCCAGGTTTTAAACCCCTGGGGATTTTTGTCCTGTAACAAACCCTTTGTTTATTCTGTGAGACAGGGAATCCACCCACCGGCTAGGAAGGCGATGAGACAGGAGTGTGGATATTTTAAAAGCGTCGGTGACCATTCAGCAATAAGATGCTAGCCTCTGAATCAGGGCGAGTTTGACCGTTTAACCGAGTGCGGGGGAATGTTCCTGGATTTACCAGCCTCCGTGTGTTTCTGTAGGATTCTCCGGCCACTTTTGTGTGATGTTTCTGTTCTTTTTTTAGCAAGCCCAGGCTGACACGGACACAAAGTGCCTTCACTCCGGTGTCTTTAGCATCACCTTTTGCAGGTAAGGGATTTTTAATTTGCATTTACTGACTCCTCTTGCACTACCCTCACCTCTTTATCCACTGCCTTTTCTTGCTCCACCACTTGCTCCTCCTCTTACATACACTTTCTCGTTCAACCTCTCTCCTTCCTCCTGTTCTTGTCACTATTCCAAGATGAGACAGTTTACTGCTCAGTGAGAAGGGCAGTACTGTGCAGAGATCTGACATACCTTCTGCTCCTCCGTTGAAAGCGTGATTTGCTTCACCCCAAATAAATTTATTCCAAGTAACCATCCCAGAGACTAGGGCAGTGTCAGGTTCTGAGTGAATCATTTCCCCAGTCTTGGGTGGGAGAATGTACTGATTCTAATGATTGCACGAGGAGCGGGGGGAGGGAGGGAGATAGAACTCTGGGGAGTTGCACACTAAACTTTTGACAAGATCCATTGTTGGGCTAGTATCCAAAATGTGTGGTGAGAACACAGAACAGTACAGTACAGTACAGGCCCTTCAGCCCACGATGTTGTGCCAAACTTTTACCCTAAACCTAAGGTCTATCTAACCTCCACCCCTACCTTATACTATCATCCAATGGCCTATCTAATAGCCGCTTAAATGCCCCTAATGAGGCCGACTCCACTACCCTCTCCAGCAATGCATTCCATGCCCCTACCACTCTCTGAGTAAAGAACCTACCTCTGACATCTCTCCTATATCTACCTCCACTCGCTTTAAAACTGTGCACCCTCGTAGAGAAGAAAAATCTATATTTATATTTCACCTTTCACAACATTCATAAGCACTCTTTAATCAATGAGTACTTCTGTCATGTAGTCAATTTTGTGATGTAGGAAACACAACAGAGTAGTTTTACCCAGCAATGTGATAATGCCCATGTAACCATGATATGATTTTGGCTGAGAATAAATATTTTACTAGGGTACTAGGTGCACACACGCATGGACATCTACCCCTACCCGTACCCTTGAGGATGTGGCAAACAATCTTGAGAACTTCTTTTGAAAAAAACCCCTTTCTTGATTTCTTTTTAAAAGTTCTCTTGTATGCCAAGAAATCTCAGTCCTTTAACCCCTCATCACTTTTTGTGATCAGTTATTTGCTTTAATTATCCTCTTGCTTTCAAACTCCTCTGTTTCAATTTGGTGATTCTTGGTATTTTGTAACCCCCTATAATTCCTTCTTGAAATGAGGAAACAGGGAACAATAAATCTTGTTTTATGTTTAGAGTTAATTATTCAAATACCCTGGCACCTTGCAGCTTCTATCAAGTTAATCTCTTCAAAATTTTGGTATATATTTCTTAACTTGAAATAAGGTTTGTCCACCCATCTCTCCTGTGTTCAGATTGGTTCCTGATCTGACAAACACCCCAATTTTAAAAAAGTCTCATCCTTGTTTCAGTTCCTTCCCTAACCTTGTCATTCCCCACCTCAGTAATGTGTTCCTGGCTTACAATGTTCTCTAGTTGCTTCTATCATGTACATTTATTTTTCACTGAGAGGTCATGCCTACACTCCTCTATCTCTATGCCTGAATCCTCCTTTTGGATATAGGATAGTGGGGAGACCACATCTCAAATACTGCACCACTTTGGTCCCTTTACTTAAGGAAGGATGTAAATACATTGTTTCAAAGGAGGCTTAATAGGTTGATATCTAGAATGAGCGGGTTGCCTTTGGAGGTAATTATTGGCCAGGCAGGGCTCGTTTCCAACAGAGTTTAGAAGAGTGAGGGACAATTTGTTTGACGGATATAAGAACCTGAATGATGTTGACAAAGTCGACGTGGAAAGAATGTTTCCTCTTGTGGGTCAGTTTAGAACTAGGGGGGCATCATTTTAGAGCAGAGAAGAGGGAACACTTTCAGTTCCTGAAGGTTGTACACTTTGGAACTCTGTCTCCGAAGGCAGTGGAGGTGAGGTCATTGAATATTTTTAAGACATAAATTCTTTTTAGCTGGGGGAATCAAAGGTTATCTTGGATATATGGGAAGTGGCATTTAGAACTCAAACAGATCAGCAGTGATCTGATGGGATGGTAGACTGGGCACAAGGTGCTGAATAGGACTCTTCCCGGTTCTTAACCAAATACTAATTCAGTGTCTTTGTAGTTCCTTACGTGGTTGGATACAAAATCTGCTTTCAGTTCTGCTGTGAAGGTCCTTTAGAATCATAAAAACAATTATCTAGGTACAATTTTCTTTCTTTTCTGTAACAATATTGTTTGTCGCGAAGTGATTGTTGAGAAATGTTTTAAAAAATTTTCTGTCACTGTCACTTCCCAATGTCTCCCTGTCTGGCTGTGAACTCATGGTAAAGATCAATGATACAGGTGGCCATGTGCTGTGAGTTTAGGGGGAGCTGAAACTACAGGGATTGGAGGGTGGGTAAGGTGTGTGTATGTGCTTAGATGTGACTGGATGGTTGGTAGCGAGTTGGTGGTCATTCTTCCAGTAAAAGAAAATAAGCCATTCCTGGCACTCGGCACAGAGCTGAGTTTGGTGATGCCAGTGGAATGGGAACAATGGGCAGAGATGATGGCTACGCTCCAACAGGAATCGAGGGGTAAAATAAAAGGCAGAATCTGAAAACCGTGTCGATGGCTGGTTGGGGAGGGGAAACAAAAATTGTTTTCACTGACTACCTCTTTCTGTCTCCTCTGATCAGGGGAAACTGTGTCACTGGTCGACCTGGACATCTCTCGCCGTGGACCCCCCTCGCCTCATCTGCCAACACCGCCACCCCCACCCCGTCGGAGCCTCAGTCTTCTCGGTACGGTGTTTGGCTCTCAGTCTGCTGCTCGGCACGGTTGTCGGGTTACGGTTCTCTGTTACGGTTTGCAGACTGCGCAGAGTGGCCAGTCTAGGTCGTTGCTTGGAATATTCAATCACATTCACTTGTTAATGGCTTTTCCCAAATTACACATTGCTTATTTTTTATGGGCTCCCCTGACGAGTGCCCCGTCACTCTCTATTTTGTATTCACCTGTGGGATGTGGGTCTCACTGACTAGGCCAGCATTTATTGCCCATCCCTAGTTGCCCTTGATGTGGTGGGGAGCTGCCTTCTTGAATCGCTGTTGTCTGTTTTGTGTACATATCCCATAATGCCCTTAGGGAAGGAATTCCAAGATTTTGACCCAGCGACAATGAAAGAACGGTGATAAATTTCCAAGTCAGGATGGTGAGTGGCTTGGAGGGGAATTTGCAGGTGGTGGTGTTCCCATATATCTGTTGTTCCACAGCTAAAAGAATTGTTTACCTGAGGACAGTGAAATAATTGAGCCTTCATGACTGTTTGTTCCTGTTGTGTGTCCCTGCATTTCTTCCCCCTTTGGCACTGTGTTGTAAACTGCTGACAGTGGTGTTCAATGTCTCTGTTCCACCAATTCCTCAACATTCAGTGGCAGAGTGTTGAAAGAGGCACTTCAGCTACCAGAAGCGAAGTCACCTTCACAGTCAGTGAGCCGTCTGTGTCCAGTGCAAACACTTGGTTTGGCAGTGAGCATACGATCATATAAATCTGGTATCTAGTGTTCGTCCTTCAGCCAACAGAATATAAATTATTGTAAATGCCAGATATAGACACACCAAATAATATGATGCACCATGATTTTCAAAGGAAATGTTGTGACATATGATCTAAAGGTTAAGATATACAATATATTTTAAAACGCTCCCCCCTCCCCCAGAGACGTGCATCTGTTGGTCCAGCAAATGCATTATTCAAAATTGACCATTTGTTCAGCTGTATACCTGTATACGAAATTATCAATTGCTTACACCAGCACATTGTGAAACGGTAAGGTCATTCAGCACACCCAACTAGGAAGCTCCAACCTATCTCTAAACAGGTGTAGCTAAATCCAATGAGGTTTGCTTGATGAGTCTTCCAGTGATCCATGCAATTGGTTATTCCTTGAGTGATCGAGAAGATTGTAATATCCAAGCACTGCTTGTTTTTCCCTACTTGTTTCATACTTAGGGAATCGTTCGGACTTTGAATACAATGTAGAATGGTTAATATTGTCTCAAAACCCAGCCTGTTAAACATCGCCCACCATTTCCACCACCACTGAAGTTACTCTGTGCCTTTCTATCCCACTGGTAAGGTTCATTTGGATGTTGTGGGTTTGTCCTTTTTGGATGTTGTGAGTTTATGCTTCTTGTACATCTTTACAGTCGTATACACACTCACCTTGTCCAACTAATCCAGCAAAGAGAGACCTTGGTTCACTTAATGAATCTTGTGATCTCGGAACAATGAGTTATTGTTTGTTTGCTTGATTGTAAAGACTCCAGAAACTCTGAAAATAGGGTGTAATTAACAACTGCACTAACAAGTTACATTTATATAACACTGTTAATGCAGTTAAATATTAAGTTTTATCTTTCGGAATACGGAGACTATCATTTGGATCATATAAAACCAACAATCAACACTAGCAAGCCTCATTCTGGAGTTGATTAGTTTGGGGATCTGCGTGCAGTGTTTTGGGTGGGGGTGGGAGAACAGTGATGTTGGGGAGGGAGACACGTTGAAATTTCTGCCATTGTTAATCTCGTGACAAGTGTTGGGATGACTATCTCCCAGCGGAGCGGTACCTGTCATGTTTGTGCCCGTGTCTCGGTTTTATTTCTGAGGAGATTTGTGTTGTTTTTCAGATGACATCGTGGGGCCACAAGCTCTGTCTTACCCAGTGAACCCAGCTGCTGCTAGTTTACAGTCACTGCCTCTCCCACCACCTCCCCCACCTCACACTTCCATCCAGCTCAGTCTCAGCTTAAACGGTAAGATCCTGCTTCTACTCCTTTAGAGCATAAGAAATAGGAGCAGACAAGCGGGGCCATTCAGCCTCTCGAACCTAGTCTGTCATTCAGTTGAATTGTAGTCTATCGTTTACCTCAGCTGTGCTTACCCACAGAATCCTCATTTCACTTGATTCCATCAATATCTTAAAAAGAAAATCTGTCACAAATAAACGCATCAGCCCTTTGGGGTTGAGAGTGCCAAAGTTTCAAAACTCTTTGAAGATATTTTTCGTTCATCAGAGGAGACCATCTATTAAAGTATCAGAAGTTGGGAAACAGAAGTTATTTTAGTTTTCTCCTTATTTTTGACGCTGATTGTAAGATCCACCCAAGGAAATGTTGCTCTACTAATTCCTTTAGGTTTTCTCGATTTTGTTCTGCCTTTTTGGTTTCGGTTTAGACCCTCTCTGGCTGCCACTTGGTCCATGGTACGTAGCAGCAGACATACTGGCCACACAGGGAGCTACAAGAGTGATTCTGTTGGCTCTGAAATAAAGATGAGAAATGGTTACATTTAGGAAGAAACTGGGAGGACAACTTCTTCTATCAGCAATAATTTTATCCTGCAAGCAGAGGAAGCGAAAGGAAGGTTCAGTGGAGCTGTATGGAATTGTGAAGAAACTTGTTGAAGGAATAGGAAGAGCAGTTTTCTGTTGTTTGTCAGGAAGTTGGGAGATTTAGGCAGTTCAGCCAGCAAATCAGAGGAAAGGATTATGGTGATCTGGAATGTGCTGCCTGGAAAGAATGGTGGTAACTGACTCGGTAGTAACCTTTGAAAGGGAGTTGGGAAATTGTTTAAATGGGAAAATTTGCTGGGAAGTGGAACTGATTGGCTAGCTCTTTCAATGGGCCAGCACTGACACGATGGACCAAATAGTCTCCTTTTCTGCTGTAAGACTCTGATTCTAAATAAGATGACCTGGTTCTTGGGATTTGAATTTTGTGATGTTGGTTTTGCTCCTATGCCATTAAGGAGTTTTTGATTGTGAAAGAAAAACTGAAAGTGCCTCGATTCTGAAAGGAGATGTTTCACCTTTAGATAAATCCCACGATGTCTGAACATCATTGTTTCTCCAGCTCTGTCAATCTGCAACACCAACAACAATTTGCATTTACGTAGCATCTCTCATGGTGAAACATCCCGAGGCATTTTAGAAGGGCATTATCAGACAGAAATTGAAAGTGAAGAGTAATTAAGATAGTCATCAAAAGTTTGGTCACTGCAGTAAGTCTTAAAGGAGGAAAGAGGGAATGCCAGAACTTGGGGTCCGGGTAACTGGAGGCTGGTGTGACCGATTGTGTCCAATTCTAATCAGCCTGACCTGGTGAAGTGTAGAGGTCTCAGAGGATTGAGATAGGGCGGACCAAGCCTAGAGAGCTTAGTGTGAAGAGGATTGGTTCTTCCTCTGGGATTGTTGGCTTCAGATTATGCTCCTCACCTTTCTTAAGCAGAGATTTGTCTATTCAAGACTCGATTTCTTTTGTCTCTTGCAGACACCTTGCAGAGAAACTCGCCTCAAATTCGGCCAATGACTGTGCAGCCACAGCACTGCATGTTTAACAGGAGGGATTCCAACACCTTTGCAGCCAGTTTGCGGGAACTTGAAAAGGTAAAGGCCTTCAGACATTACGACGTTATTTTGAAGCATTTGTAAAATGTTCACTGCCATCAATAATATGGAAGGGAGATGTTGAGGACATAAAAGAAACTGTTTTGGGTGGCTGTGTCATGGCTCAGTGGGTAACACATTTGTCTCTGAGCTAAAATGTTGTGACGACCAGTTCCACACTCGGGCAACTAACCCAGACTGACACTGTTAGCTTAGTACTGAGGGAGCACAGCACCTGCCAGAGGTGTTGTCTTTCAGACGAGTTGTTAAACTGAGACCCTATTTGGTGTCTTGGGTGGATATAAAATTCCCATGGTGCAATTTCAGAAAAGAGCAAGGATGTTGTTCCCTGGGCAAAATTGATCCTTCAACAACCGTCACCTTACCGAAAAAAAATCTGATGAACTCATTACTTATCACATTGCTGTGTCCAAATTTCCTCTGTTACAACAGTGACTATACCTTTAAAAGTAGCTCACTGTCATTCGGGAAAAATGTCAGCGCTTATGAGAAAGGATCTAATAGCAGAGCATTTAGAAATACATCATATCATAGAGTCAACATGGCTTCCCGAAGGGGAAATTGTTCCTAACGAATGTATTAGAATTGTTTGAGGATTTAACAAGCAGGTTAGATAAAGGGGAACTGGTAGATGGAATACCTAGATGGCCAAAAGGAGTTTAAGATACTGTGCTTAAGGCTATTGAAGAGCTTATGATGGTGGAGGGTGTACATAGCGTGGTTGGAGAATTGGCTAATCAGTAGAAGGCAGAGAGTTAGGATAAGTGGGGTGGGTGGATTTTCATTTGGCAACCTCTGACTAATGCAGGATCGTGGGATCAGTGCTGGGCTTGACATCGTAGGCGCAATGAGAGAGCCTCCATAATGGGAAACTAGGATAGACAACATAACCACAGAGTGCGGAGGTGTCCCGTTAGGATAGAGATGAGGAATTTTTATTGAGGATATGGAATCTGGCATTCTTTACCACAGAGGGCAGGCAAGGTTGGTTTGTTAAGTATATTCAAGGCTGAAATAGACCGGTTTTTAATTAGGCAGGGAATCATAGAGTACGGGGACAAGTCTTTCCTAATCTGATGCCTGCTGTTCTGTCTCCTGCAGTGTGGCTGGTATTGGGGTCCGATGAACTGGGATGATGCTGAAATGAAGTTGAAGGGTAAACCAGATGGTTCGTTCCTGGTACGGGACAGTTCGGATCCACGTTACATCCTCAGCCTCAGCTTTCGCTCGCAAGGAATTACGCACCACACCAGAATGGAACATTATCGAGGTGAGGGTGCCTGCAATCAGAACTTGGGTTGAGAACCTTATAGCCCCTACAGTGTGGAATGGGACCATTTGGCCCATCAAGTCTGCACTGGCCCTCTGAAGACCATCCCACCCACACCCAGCCCCCTAACATATCCCATAACGCCACATTTCCCATGGCCAATTCACCTAACCTGCATATCTGTGGACTGTGGGAGGAAACCAGAGCACCAGGAAGAAACCCATACAGACATGGGGAGAAGGTGCAAACTCTACACAAACAGTCGCCCAAGGTTGGAATCACACACAGGTCCCTGGCCCTGTGAGGCAGCAGTGCTAACCACTGAGTCACCGTGCTGCAACAGTGTCACTTGAGGTGCTGCTTTTAACCTAGTAAAACATCCCAAGCTGCTTCATTGGAGTGTAATCTGACACCAAGCCACAAGAGATCATTGCACATTGATTTTTCTGAAGAAGGGTCTCGACCCAAAACGTCAGCTTTCCTGCTCCTCTGATGCTGCTTGGCCTGCTGTGTTCATCCAGCTCTACACCTTGTTATCTCAGATTCTCCAGCATCTGCAGTTCCTACTATCTCTATTGCGCATTGACTGTCATGTTTGCCATGTTGCAAAGGTGACTACACTTTAAGATCTAGCTAATCAGGTGGAACATCATGAGATTAAGAAAGGCATGATTTATAAATAGAAGATCAGTTCAAATGCAAAATGAAAGATGCATTGATAAGTTTATAATTGAGTTTCATTGCTTAAAAACAGTCCCGTTTTCATTCCTAATGGTTGTGCAAGTGGAGCCTGTGATACTGTTGCTGACAGTGCCTGTTCTCTGGTCTTTTGATCAATTTGCTGCTGTTCTTTGTGTATCTTCTTTTTCACATTTCATTTTCCTTTTGGGGAAGTGGTGGAAGAAAGCAGTCTCTCCCTGTGGCTAGCAAATCCAGGCAGGGAATTGAACTCTGAGCTTCTAGCCTATAGATAAGGACACTGCCATTACACCACAGGAGCCCATTAAGAGAGAGCAATGGTAATGCTTTGATATAACTGGCCAATTAACAGTCAATGATGCTGTTGTGAAACTGGCATCCCTCACTAGCTCACATGCATGCACGCACACACACCTAGACCAGGTAAGGATGACTAGCCAATATGGAGGAACCAGTTGGATTATCTCTATAACTTAATACCTTCACAATTACATCTACTGGTTTCTTTCTTTCATAAAAACTGAATTTACATTCACAAACTAGGGTTGAGAGATTTGGTCTCCCATCTGGATTATTAGTCCCATATGATATCCTGTATGCTTTATGTTGTATTGTCATTTGAAAATGCTGTTGCCTTTCACAGAAGATATTTCCTGATTTTCCTCATTAACTTCAGCTGAAAATTTGCAGAATCTGTACGTAAAGAAACAGTGGTGAAAGATTGGGAGAACATCATAGAAAATAATCTCTACAGTCTAGGCTAAAGATTCATATAAACCAGAAAAGGCTATTTAGCTCCTTGTCTTTCCTGCCATTCAGATAATGATGGCTGATCTGCATCATGATTCCATAGACTTATAATATCCTTACCTCATTTAAAAAAAAGCCCACCAATCTTTATTTGGATGTTTTCAATTCACCCTTGGCTTCGATGCTTTTTGTGGCAAGAATAGCAGTTTTCCACTGCCCTCTATTTGAAGAAGTGCTTCTTGAAATCGCTCTGAAAGGCCTTGCTGTAAATTGAAGGTCATGCCCCCTGTACTGGACTGTTACCATAAGACAAAATGATTTCCCCCTCTCTCTCCAGCAATTCTTTTACTTGTCTTGACATAAATTCGATGCTGGAATTTTGTACAAGAAGGATCAGTACAAAATAGCCAACAAGTTAATTAAATACTGCATCAACGAAACTTGCTATCAGCTGATGGTTTGAAGATACTTTGATTGTTGTTTTAAGGTTATTTCAAACTTACTTGCTGTCTACTACAGTTTGAAAAAAACCTCACACTTGTACACTAGCTCGTTGTTTAAGAACAGACTTTCATGTTCCTGCCTGCATGCTCACACTTGTATACAGACGCAGCAATCCTGGATGTCTGGCAGTGATTACAGGGTGCGAACCTAATTGATGGATTTAAATCAAGTCAAAAACCAGAAAAGGAATGATTCAGAGGTTCAATTCTCCGAGCTTAGCTTGCAGTTTTCCTGCTATATGTTATTAATCTTGGCCCACAGGTGAAGATTGCAGGAGGTGTACAAGTTGTATGTTATATAATCTATGGAGCATGCTACCTAGTTGATTATTTTGTATATTTTATCAATGCAATGTACAGTCTATGTCTGGAGGCACAATATTATATTTCCAACTTCTCAGTTTGATGATTTGCCATTCTCACTAGGTGGTCGATATAACAAGAAATTTGGTGTCCTTTAAGATGGCATCTGTTGCGATCTAATATCAAGTAACAGTATGGAACCACATTGTCATCATTCAGCTCAAGACTCTTAGTAATGAAATTCTGTGAACTTGACTTGTAAAGCTACCAAACTTATGGTTTACACTTACTTTTTCTGAAACTCATTAATAAGATATAAGCTGTCACAAGCACATTTTACTTCCTATTCCCAGAAGCCAGGCTGATGCTACATTCTGTTGATGAGAAAACACACAAGGGGATTGTTTTTAACGAGCAGCTATCCACACTTGTGTTTGTGCAGTTGAGGATAACCTTGTTTATTTTGACAATTAAGGGTGAGAACAGTAGCCCGGGACATAAATTTAAATTAGTAAAGAGTAAATTTAAAACAGATATTTGAGGAGAGCTGCATTACTCTCGGAATGAAAGGCTGGCTGAGTGTTGTAAAATCAACTCCATCCTCTTAAATAATGGGGTCAATGGCAGAGACAGGTTGTCAATAAATGGGAAGGTGATTGTAAAATGTAATGAGCAGCTTAGGGACTGCCTCTGCCTAACACTGGAACTGGGTTTAGCAGATATCCCACAGCATTGCTCCTAAATAATGTAGGAAGTGGTGTACTAGCTTTGATCTTCACTCGGGTCCTGACAGATCCGAACCCTTTGCTGTAATACCACGAATATGCTGAAGCAGTAACTGACTTCAGATAAAAATCCTTGCTGACCACAGTTGCTTACCAAATGATACAGGCCATACAGATATACCAATGAATGAAGACACTGGGTTCCATTCTGGAGTCCATTCACAAGTTGACTTTCATGCAAGTCCAAACAAAATGCAGGACAATACAAAATAGCTGTTCATAAGTATAGGAAATGTTCATATGTTTCGGCCTTTAAAATTGCACCCCTGTATGGGATCATGTTCGTAAACTGGGGACCACCTGTATGAGGAATAGGAAGAAGCCATTCGACCCCTTGAGTTTGCTTGGGCATTAATAAAGCCATGACCAATCTTCTACCTCAACCTCTCCTGTCCCTTAACCCTTAATTTCTTTAGCTTCCAGAGACCTATCCATAGCTGTCTTGAATATACTGAACAACTGAGTACCCATTACCCTCTGGGGTCTCAAATTCCAACCATTCATAACCTTCCGAATAAAGAAATGGTTTTTGTTTCTGTCCCAAATGGTCGAGCCCTTATCCTATGACAACAAACCCTACTTCAAATGCCCCAGCCTCAGTGAGCTTTAGTTTTGCTTTTGTTCATCCAGTTTCCACTCCTACTGATCCATGCACTCGAATGTAAGTCATTCAATTAGTCAGCAAGTCACAGCACACGTTTTTAAAAAACTGCATTAAATGAAATCCTCCTTATATTTAAGGCAGGAATGTTGCTGTAAAATGGTTTATCTCAAAATAAGCATTTTAATCAATGTCTAGGCTGTCATCTGTAAAAGTAAACTTTTCTGATAAATAACTGAAAATGAAAAGGTTTTGCGATCCAATCCCATTTATCCACCTTGAAGTGTTCCAATCCAGCAGGTGTAAATACAATGCTGTCAGGATGAAGATTCCAAGATTTTGACTGTGGTGAACGTGAAAGGCTGGCTTTTCAGTGTCTGTATTGGGGTAATTTACGAGTGACCAGATTAATACCTGGAATGAGCACGTTGCCTAATGAGGAAGGGCTGGATAGGCGAGGCTCGTTTCTATTGGAATTTAGAAAAATCAGTAGTAACTTAATTGAAACATATAAAATCCTGAGGGCACTTGACTGGGTGAATGTGGGAAGGATGTTTGTTCTTGTGGAAGAACCTACAACCAGGGGTCATAGTTTTAAAATAAGGGGTTGCCCATTTAAAACAAATGAGGAGGAAAAATACTTACACTTGTAAAGTCAGGTGTCTTTGGAATTCAGTTCCTCAAAGCCAGTAGATGCAGAATCTTTTCAGTTTTTTTTTAGGCAGAAGCAGGTAGATTCTTTATGACCGAGGGACTGGAAGATTATTGGGGATATGCAAGAATGTAGAATTGAGATGAAAATCAGGTCAGTCACGATCTTGTTGAATATTATTGATGCCTTGTTCCTTGTTAGTGTATTTGACTTGCAGGTAGTGCAGTTCCTATTAACTTGTTGCCCTGTCATTCTAGTTGGGGGAGAGGGGTGCTAATTCCTGGGCTATTCACTGAAGATGATGAGAGTGAATTCAGATGAGTTTAAGTAGTGTGAAGCTCTGTGTACTGATGTAATGTGCACTGGATTCCATGTAGGCTGAAGGCAGGTATGCTGGACCATTCCCTGGAAATCTGAGCATTAACTAGCATCAAAATATCTGCAGGTAAATGTTACTGAACTGAATCACAGTTTTGGAGGCCCAATAACACAGTCCTGTTGCTCAGACAGTGCAGCACCATACTGTTGAGAGACTGGGCATTTAAGGTGTACAGACAACCCCCACCTAAGGAGTATTCCAGATTAAGGAAACTAAACTGCCATCTGGCATCTGAGAGACTGCATGACCAGGAAAGGTGTAAAATACTTCAAACCTAGTAAAGATTCAGTGAAATGAGTACTTTGTGGCCGGCGTCCTAGATAAAGCT